TCCCTAACTGCATACATATGGCCACTAGAAAGATTTTCTTATCTATACTCACCGTCAATAGAAACGCAACACCTTAATTTTAGGGTGAAAATTATATACAGGTTATAACTATGTACCAAAAAAGTTAGGACATCTTTTACTTTGCCAAATCAGTTATTTAACGGTTGAATGAATTTCTATCCATTACCGGAAGTTGCTTTGTAGCCCTCTTAACAGAATTCAAAATTTTCCATTTTTGATAAAATTTCAACAAGATTTACGGTTTTCAAGGTTTTGAAACTGTTAATCATAAGTATTGTACTAAAAGGCCGGGGAAAAATCCTTCTTTCTTTACCGGATGTGATGCCTATATTTCCTCAAAATGACTGATAGCAAGAAGGGGGGATGTTTTAAGAGTTATGTGTTACCTTCTAAAGTTTAATGATAACATTAAAAATGAATATATTTAGGTAAAAAGTAAATTTACAAAAGAATAATGCTCCATTTAAACATTAAATGTTATTTTTAGACCTTAGAAAGAAACAAATACCCAGTAAATCTTAAAACATCCCCCCTACCGACCATTTAACGAAAACGTGCTAGTCCGCCATATACAACAAATGCAGCCCGATTTCTACCATGCATTAAGTTTATTAATGTCTTAATCTGAGCGAAATTAATATTCTTGGGCATTTTTAAATATATGATATTCAGATATTGCGGTCGAATTTTCTCTAACCTGGCGTAGTGTAGCAACTTTTGGACTTCCGGTCAAGAAAATGTCATTTATGCTTTTGAAACACGTGACCCTGATGAGTCGTGATATAGTGTACATTTGCATCTGCAGCTCTTTTTTTCTTTATTTTGAGAATTTCCAGCATTAGCAATGAAAATCAGTCATTTTGAGGAAATATAGGCATCACATCCGGTAAAGAAAGAAGGATTTTTCCCCGGCCTTTTAGTACAATACTTATGATTAACAGTTTCAAAACCTTGAAAACCGAAAATATTGTTTAAAATTTCATTAAAAATGGAAAAATTTGATTTCTGTTAAGAGGGCAAAAAGCAACTTCCGGTAATGGATAGAAATTCATTCAACCGTTAAATAACTGATTTGACAAAGTAAAAGATGTCCTAGCTTTTTTGGTACATAGTTATAACCTGTATTTAATTTTCACCCTAAAATTAGGGTGTTGCGTTTCTATTGACGGTGAGTATATTATCAATTCTGTACCTCCGTATATGATACATGTTTAAATGTCCAAGTAAACTGTCATCGGTAAAATTCCCATATAAGTAACTATTGTAAATGGATAATAAGTCATCAACATATCGATTTGAAGGCCAGAGTAAGTGTAATTTTTTCTCTATTCATGCAGAATTTTACATAAAAAAATTCATATGAATACCAAAATAAGCAATTGGTACCCATGGGAATTCCAACAGTTTGTTGAAAGATCTGATGTCCAAAAACTATATATTATTGAATATTGTGAATTAGAATCTCAAGCATCGTTAAGCCAACTTAAGAAAAAAATGTTCGTCCTCTCCCGTCTTGGTTTGAAATATTGGGTCGGTAGGTAGGTGAGATATTTATTTTTCTCATTTTTTCCAGAGTACTACATAGTTTACTCCTAAAAGGCTTTTCGTACACATATTTTTTTACTTTCTCCCCAGATATCATCGGATGTCCAACAAAATTTTCCACGAGATTAACATGTTTTGTTAGTTCACACAATCCTTGCACTAAAAACATGGCGTTATTTTAAACTGCGTTTTACATTTCTAATGTTTCGTCAAAATTCGAATTCTTTAAAAACCTCGTTGTCGTATATATTCTACTTGCTTTTTCTTATTTAAATGCGTAGATAAAAGTTTGTTTCTAAAATATTAAAATTGAACAAATCAAAATTTAAAAAAAATTCTGCATAAATATTTTGTCAAAATTCAAATGAAAGTAAAGAGTTGTAAAAACATTTATTTTTAGAATAATTGTTAATGTCGAATTTTATATATTATACAGTGTAGATATAATTCAGTAATGAATCATTGTTTTTTTTAAATATAGGCTTTTAACTGCAACGATATGTGCAAGCAAACTGAGTAACGCGCGTTAGTTGGAAAAAATATGATGAAAGAACAAATTCCTTTATTGATTGTTGCTTACGTTACTCAGGGCCATAGAGAAGTAAGTGACCTTTATTTTCCGAATGCTTACTGTGACACTGGGCTTCCGTGTTTGAGGGTTTTTTTACGGTATTAAATAATTTGAAGAAAAATATATATTTCAGTTAACATAAACTGAGGGAATCTGAATGTAAATTTTAAATAATATCACCTCATATCATCATTTTTGGTCTGAATTATTCGAATTGAGACAATATCGAGTAGTGTATTAATTATATCGATGATATTTTTGATATTTTAGATGATAATTTAAGCCGTTAAACTATCCGCTCTAAACATCTCCTGACTGAAAGAGAACAGGCAATTTTATATAGAGTTGTGATCCCCCACTACTGTTTGTGGATGGCATGACATTTATTATGACATATTGTGACAAACATGAAAGCCCAATCATGTATTATTTCTGGGACAGAAATTCTTCAATTATATGTCAGTTTTGGATATTTATAATATTCCCAACAAATAAAATGAATTTGAATTACCACACCTACATTGGATTCCGAACCTCCATAAAAATCCTTACAAACAAAGATACAAGGTGGGTTCAAGAAAAAGTTCAACCAAGCCTCTTTCAGAGTTCATGTACTTTTTAATAACCCCTCCTATGTGTTTGGAGACCAGGTCTTCCACATATCTACTGGTATTCCCATGGGCACCAATTGCACCCCGTTATTAGCAGTTATATTTAATATTCATATGACACAGACTTGTCAAAAATCTTACACATGAAAAGAAGAAAATACTTACCGTGGTTTTCAACTCCACATTTAGATGTATCGACCACGTATTGTCAATTAATAATGATTATTTCCATTCTTATGATAACAGAGTTATGATGACAGAGTTTGACACATCTGTTTCGTATTTAGATATTAGAGAGGTTGAGATCTTATACTTGTACGCGTACGTGTACTTGTATACATTTTGACGTACACGTACACGTTTTTTTTAATTTGTCTGTTGAGGTTTTTATGACGTGTAACATGTACGTGTACATCGCGATCGGTATCTCTGTTTCAACTATTTAGAAGGTTTTTTTGTTGTCAGTTAGTAAACAAAACTTCATGAAAATAAGTGTTCGTGAAAGTAAATATCCTATATAATGTATAACAATCACATTTTCACACTTAAATTGGCTAATTTTTATTATTAAAGCTACACGTTTTCACTTACGTGTAGATTCCATTCTACAAGTTTTACGAACGTGTAGCAATCTTGACGTCACTAAAATTGATGACGTAATACACACAGAATTTAGGTTATTCCTCTACAAGACGTACCCGTACACGTACACGTTTGAAATCTCAACCTCTCTATTTTACTCGAAAAAGCTGCTGTAATGTTAATTGAACAAACAAGCTCTATGATCAACGTGACAACTTATTTTCCAATCGTCAACTTCCCTTACTTATGCAGCAATTTACCTTCATCGCCTGCAAAAGGAATTTATATGAAGGATATGGAGATAACGAACAGTATCAAATATCAAAGTCCATAAAACAATACAAAATAGGAGCAGAGCAAACACGGACCTCCAAAACATAAGAGGTGGGATCAGGTGCCATGGAGGAGTGAGCATCCCCTGCGGATAGATCACACCCACAGTGTGCTCCTTGTCATGATCGGGAAATAACGAAAAAATCTGTGGTCAATTCAATGCATATTTAATGGACTAACAATTAGTATGAAAAACGTCAGTCAGCATTTGAATTAATGATAAATTGTATTTGCTGACAAGGTCATTGTATCGACGATAGAACTTACGAAATGATGACTTTAAAGGAGACTGCTGATTTTCTTGTTTCATCAACTTGTTTGTCAATAATTAACCTCGTTTTAGAAATTGTTCATACGTACAGCATGTTCTTGCGTATCGAATCAACTGAGATACATGTGTATATACACTCCGTATGCAGGCAATGAAGGTATATTACTGCATAAGTAAGGGAAGTTGACGATAGAAAAGTTAAAGTCATCACGTTGTTAGATTAACATTAACGTCTTTTTCAAGTAAAATATCCAAGCATGAAACAGATGTGTTAGATCTCACAGTTCGATACGTAAGAGAGTGCTCTACATTTCTTAATCGAGGTAAAATATTGATAGACTTTTTGATGAAACAAGTATATCAACATTCTTGTTTAAAGTCATCATATCGTAAGTTCTCTGGTCGATATGACCTTGTCAGCAATTTCAGTTTATCATTGAGTCGAATGCTGACCGACGTTTTTCATACTTATTGTTAGGCCATTATTTTGGAACTGAGATGGCCACGGATTTCTGTTTTTCCCCCGATCATGACAAGGGGCACACGGCAGTTGTGACAACAGGGGATGAAAAGTAGGTCAAATTAAAGTTTTGGGAATTTTATCAATTTGGAATGGTCTTGTCACGAGAAATATACATGTAAAATATGAAAGCTCTTTCCCTCTTCTCATTCAAAAGTTATACCCAAGGTTAAAGTTTTTGTGACAGAGTGACAGACTGACAGACTAATGATATTTATTGCCCCTCTGCTTTTGCAAAAGCAGTCTACAATAAAACAAGTTATACAGCACGATTCTTTTGTTTGCACTGGAATGAATTCATGTGAGTACAAAAAACCTTGTTGCTGAATCCATTTCGTTTTGTACCCAAGTATTATTATGAAATTCTCCTTAGCGACTATGTAAGAGGTCAGTCGCTTTAAGTCAAAGACACCTTTTAGCTACAGCTAAAGAAATTATCTTTATTAATTTGTGCTAATTACAATTTTCAGAACAGGTAAAGTCATTCCAGATCAGAAAAGTAGGAAACCACGATGACCAGAAAGTGTCCTAAGGTCACATCCCTACCAGTTCTCACTAGGACAGTTGGGTCCTTGACACTCCATAGTTTCTGAGAAAATTGAAAATGAAAGTATTTCCTGTTCAAATCTTGTGTGCATATTGCATGTATTATACATCTTAAAATGCTGATTTATTTTTAATTTTTAAAATTAATAATTTTGAATCATATGGCTGTTTATTTATCACACTAGGATAAGAGCATTACAGATCCTAAACACCTTTTACCAAGCTTGTCATACCAGTTAGTGTAATGCTTGTTTCTCCATTCCCGTATCTGTTGTGTCCGACACAATAGTATTTAGTGTAGTCAATGGCCTGAACGTTTTTCACAAGAAGTGTAGACCAAAACTCGTCGCTTTGAAGAATACTAAAATCTTTGGTGATATCATATTTGTCGTCGTCTTGAATTTCAATTCGGTTGCCACTTATGTCTTCTTTCATCCATTTTACAGCTGGTACAGGGTATCCTGGATTGAATATAATATGCTATATTATGATTGACGGATTAATTAAACTGATATTTGTTTATTGGCGGATTTATGTAAAAAAAAAAAAGAAGAAATTCGACGTTTGAACATTTCATTAATAAAAGATTCCACAAGTCACTATGATCAGATAGTGGTAGACATGTCTTTACTTGATTAACATCAAACCTCCAAAGTCAGCATCCCAGTATCAGCATGGAGGCAATTCGGTATAAATATGTGTGATATCTTGGATATGACATTCATTTTTGCCCTCTCCTTGACTGGGCGAAGTTAAAACGGGGCGAATTAAAATTACACCTCATAATTTCTTGACAGATCGAATTTATTTTCGAAAATAACACGGGGCGAAAATAACCCTGTATACAGTATTTATGTAGGGATCCTTAATAAAGGATTTATGATATTCTTTCTTATTCTAATAAATCAGCTGAAGTAGATCCGAAGCAAATAACGCTGGGACATGAATTTAAGAAATGTGATTCGACAAAATACCCCCTCCCCCGGGAAAAACAATAACAGTCCCAGTTTGTGTTGGCCACCCTTAACATATCTCGCTTTTTTAACACTTGGTCTATACAAACCAAAACTAGACAAATGAAATTCTATGAAACGAAATAAATAAACACTTTCTCAAATACAAAACAAATGAGACTATACAATGCAAATGGAAAAGATTAAAAACAATAAAAAATATAATGTATTTTTTTTTACAATACAATACTAGTAAAAATGCAAACACGTACGTATTTGTTAGTACTGTATCATTAGTACAATGCCATCTCGTTTATAGAGGTTCGTTGCTTTACCAAAAATTTCTATTTTGTTACTTTGTTAGTATTATTACTGTTTGTTGATTTTATATATTGCAAAGGACAAAAATGTGCATATAATAAAACGAAATTAATATCATAAATCTAACAAGATAAGATTGATGTAACCATCAATTGTCGCCCGGGAAATGAATAAAGTAAACAATGGATATGATTCTTGATCATCAAACCGCTTCGATATGTGTGAAAAAGGCATGCGTCTAAATGATGGAAACGATTGTCGAAAATAGTTTGAAAACTTATAGTCGGATGAAAATCGAACAAAAACGATACCCATTTAAACTTTATCAATTCCTCAAGTAAATGTTGGCTGCATAAATATAAATTGAAACCAGACACATGCATCACCTAGACATTAAAAAATGTATTTCACTTAGAATATGAAACACGAACTGTGTACACTTACGTTTTTATGCGACATGTAAACTTCGATGTTCTAAAAAAGGGACCTGTCATTTTTTGATAGTAAGTGATGAGCAACTCTTTATATTAAATGTGAAAAACGTATATATTTTTACAGATCCACTTTATGGAAGTAAATATATTTTGTATCTCGTAATTTATAAAAGGAAAGAGCATTGTGATTAACAATATTTTTAATGTTTAGAAAACCTTTTATTCTGAATAGCTTCTCCCATCTCAATCTCCATACACCATTACTTAAATGTATAGAGCAGCCCGGTCCTCCGGGCTGCAACAAACTATGCAGGCCGTAAATGGCTCTGGTACACGACATCAGGTATATAGACTTGCGAGTACAGAAATTAGCATGCAATACTTTAAGGTTAAAAACTTGCTATTAAATGTTTATAATATAACAAGAGGCCCATGGGCCACATCGCTCACCTGAGAATCTTTTGTCATATTGTTCTTTACCAGATTCCCCCCCTTGTAATACATATTGTGACCCCAGCCTACTCCAATGATCATAATTTACTTAATTTAAAATCTACACTACCCAGGATGCTTCCACATAAGTTTCAGCTTTTCTGGTCCAGTGGTTCTTGAGAAGAAGATTTTAAAAGATTTTTCCTATATATTTCTATGTAAAATTTTGATTCCCCATTGTGGCCCCGCCCTACCCTCGGGGGTCATTATTTGAACAATTTAGAATCTACACTACACCAAGATGCTTCCACATAAGCGTCAGCTTTACTGGCCCAGTGGGTCTTGAGAAGAAGATTTTCAAAGATTTTTCCTATATATTTCTTTGTAAAACATTGATTCCCCATTGTGGCCCCGCCCTATCCCCGGGGGTCATGATTTGAAGAATTTAGAATCTACACTACCCCAGGGTGCTTCCACATCAGTTTCAGCTTTTCTGGTCCAGTGGTTCTTGAGAAGAAGATTTTCAAAGATTTTTCCTAAATATTTCTATGTAAAATTTTGATTCCCCATTGTGGCCCCGCCCTACCCCCGGGGGTCATGATTTGAACAATTTAGAATCTACACTACCCCACGATGCTTCCACATGAGTTTCAGCTTTTCTGGCCCAGTGGTTCTTGAGAAGAAGATTTTCAAAGATTTTTCCTATATATTTCTATGTAAAATTTTGATTCCCCATTGTGGCCCCGCCCTACCCCCGGGGGGTAATTTAGAATCTACACTACCCCAGGGTGCTTCCACATCAGTTTCAGCTTTTCTGGTCCAGTGGTTCTTGAGAAGAAGATTTTCAAAGATTTTTCCTATATATTTCTATGTAAAGTTTTGATTCCCCATTGTGGCCCCGCCCTATCCCCGGGGGTCATGATTTGAACAATTTAGAATCTACACTATCCCAGGCTGCTTCCACGTAAGTTTCAGCTTTTCTGGCCCAGTGGTTCTTGAGAAGAAGATTTTTTAATGACCCCACCCTATTTTTGTCTTTTCTTGATTGTCTCTCGTTGTGAGGGGACTTGGCCCTTCATTTTAATAATTTAAATTCCCCTTCACCCAAGGATGCTTTGTACCAAGTTTGGTCAAAATTGGCCCAGTGGTTCTTGAGAAGAAGTCGAAAATGTGAAAAGTTTACAGACGGACAGACAGACAGACAGACAGACGGACAGACAGACGGACTGACGGACGGACGACGGACAAATTTTGATCAGAAAAGCTCACTTGAGCCTTCGGCTCAGGTGAGCTAAAAAGGGCGAGCGAAATAATTTAAGTCATGTATTTAATACAAAATGGACATGCAGCACACACTAATGTAATTTTTACAACATAGTCTAAGCTAGGTCCCTTTTTCAGCAAACTAACGTTTTAAAGGGTTTTACAAACATAAATGATATTAAAGGATTCATTGTGAACAAATGTCATTCTCTGAATAATGTTAAACATTACTGAAGATATACATAAACACACCTGCAACTATACATTCAAGTTTGGCTTCGAATCTTCTGTTTTGTGCCTGGCCCACTACAGATTCCACGGGCGTCAGTAACGGCGGGAAATATACGGCAACTTCCACTCTTAAAATGGCGGGAGGATTGATGCCATTGTCAGCCTCGCAAATATAGTAACCACGGTCACTCTTCTGAATGGCGGTCAAGGTCAGTGGATTTCCCTGTACAATAGAGATAAAACAATTATGGAAATGTCCGTAACATCAGATCTTCATGACAATATATCCCTGTAATAATTTTCAAAAAATGCTCACATTAAAGGTTAACTTTCAATTTTAATGTTGAACATGACGTTTAATTTGTAACAATACGTTGAACATGAAGTCTTACTTTCTAATATTACGTTGAACACAAAGTTTTGAAGTTTAACATTGTAAAATTACGTTGAAAATAAAGTTTTAATTTTTTACATTAAGTTGAAAATAAAGTTTTACTATCTAACATTACGTTAAACATGAAATTTTACTTTGCAACATTACGTTGATCATGACGTTTTACTTCTAACATTACGTTGTACTGAAGTTTTACCTGTGACTGGAGTCTCCCAGTTGACAGTGAACGCCCGTCCTCTCTTGTCCATGTTATATTTGGAGATGGAATACCACGAGCTTCACAGTTCATCTGAAGGTCAGACCCAAGGTCAACTTCATACAGCGATTTCATGTTACTCAAGATCTTAGGGGCAACTGTAGAAAATTATATCTACTGTAAAAATTTCATTCACATTTTAAATTTGTATTTTTAGGAAGATTTTAAAAATATAAAATGTTAAGTAATTTCAAGCATTGCATAATTGAAGTGCCCTTCATCATTGCATAAGTATCAGTCACATTATCCGGCGATAGGGTATACGATGAGAAACCAATGCGTTTTATGTTGAAAATGGCGTGGTTGCCGGCCGGAAACCACTAGTAACCGGACGGTGACTGAGGCCATTTTGCGAATCGGTGGGGTAATCGGTAGAAAATGATTCCTAGTTAAAAATCAGCAATGTCTCCACCGATACCCCACATCGCTCCTCATCTGCAACCCATCATTAACACATCTTTAAAGGATTGGTCGATGTATGGCCGAGCATCGTCAAGTGTCCGTTGAATCTAAGATCATCGGAGGGTTGAGTGGTGGGCACCAGACATCGGCCGATCACTGGTTAATGTTCCACCAAAACTTAGCACATAGTCGACCGACGCACAAACGATGTTCACAAATATATGAGCGATGTAATATACATCGACCGATCACCCTGGAACATCGTTTTATGACTAGCAATGCATCGCTGGGCCTTTGTAAGTCCGACCAGCATTGAGTTCACGCCATTTTCATCAAAAAACGCATTTGTTGCCCATCGTTAACCCCATCGCTTGATAATGTGACTGATACATTAAGGACTACTAGACCGATGTGGACCGATGTTGGGGCATCGCTCACACCAAGGATTACCAATAATTACCACCGATCTACGGCCACCGGCCGGGAAATGTGACCTAAGCATTACATACAAAGGCATATTTGATTAAGTTTGATTTAATGTTGACTGAAGTTTTCATACTAATTGTTAGAGCATTATTTACACACTGAATTGTCGATTTTCCCCGTTTCTTCCCAAGCATGACAAGGAGTATACGGCTCGTGTGACCGGTCGGCAGGGAATGTTTACTCCTCCGTGGCACCAGATCCCATTTCTGATGTTTTGAAGGTCCGTGTTTGATCTGCCCCTATTTTGTATTGTTTAATGGACTTTTGAATTTCAATGTTATCTCCATTGATTCAATACGCAAGAGCGTGCTGTATGTATGAACAATTTCCAAGACGGGTTTAATTATTGACAAACAAGCTGATGAAACAAGAATATCACCAGTCTTGTTAAAGTCATCATTTTGTAAGTTCTACAGTCGATACAATGACCGTGTCAGCAAATACAATTAATCACTGAGTCAAATGCTGACTGTCATTTTTCATACTCATTGAAATACTCGCGGGTGTGACGGGTCGGTAGAGGAGGCTCACTCCTCCATGGCACCTGATCCCACCTCTGATGTTTTGGAGGCCCGTGTTTGCTCTGCTCCTATTTTGTATTGTTTGATGGATTTTTTATCTTGAATAATGTTTTGTATCTCCATATGTTTCACACAACCTGTGAGCACAGAATCTGTCAAGAAGGCCAAGTTCAACATCGAATGAATTAGCAAACCAAATGTATATATATCTTATTGAAATCCCGAATTTCGCATGTACAGCGAAAGGGGGATTATTCATGCCACAGGCACGTTTACTGTTTACAAATTACAAGTAGATGACAGAACTTCCATCATATGACAAAACGAAGGACATAAATACATGTATGATAACTTACTCTGCACCGTTAGCTGGCCAATCTTTGTAGGCCAGTGTGTCCATTCCACGCCTGGGATCTTTATTGTACAAACATAACCTCCATTGTCTTCCTCTGCTAGATAGCGGATTACCAACATGTAAGTGATTCTTCTTCCGTTTGTACGACTCTGTACATCGTATTTGTCTAGTCCAGAATCCTCATTTATTCCGTGATTGTAGCCTACATATATATATTTACATAAACATTTTTTTCTATGAATCTTGGTTCGATACATTTTAAAATAATAGATTGGAAGCTACAGTAGCATATTTTAAACCAACAGATGCCGCGATTGAATATTTTTACCACGATAAATATTACTTTTAAAAAAGGGACAGTAGAACAAGATGGGGAATAATGTTTGATAGTACTTTTTCTTACCCTTGATCTCAGTCGATAGAGCGCTCACTCCGTGATCGAAAGGTCGTGAGTTTGTAACTCGGTCACAACTGACCGTTAGAAATCGATAAAAAAAATGGGTAGCAACTGTTCCTTCGCCATGCGCTCGGCACTTTGAAGTTGTGGGTTCTTTGGATGAGACCTTAAAAACTCGTGCCCCGTCTCACGGCGGGCGTTGGCATGATAAAGATCCGTCACTGCTCAATGGCAGTGAGTGCCGTGTAAAGGTCAAAATTTGAAGCCCTTCATCGATATATGGTGGTGTCTCTATATCAGTGAAAAATTCCCTAACGGGATGTAAAACAATACACTATCAATCAATCTTACCTTGATAGACAATTGTTTCATCTTCACTTAACAAAATAGGACTTCCTCCATTGACCGTTTGTAATTTAGTCCATTGTACCTGTTAGAAGGTTTCAATTTGATCCCTGTATTAGATTCATTGAAACGAAAAAATGAAAACAGCACAACAATACAACTGTGCTAAACTTTTATATTGGAAAAAAAATCCGACATCAAAGTTCCAACTAGTATTGCTTTAAAAAGTGAAAATAGCAAAATAATCGGAAAATACTAGTGGTTCGTTTGTTCGATAAGATAGTAAAATTTAATTTCATTTATTAATAAATTTACTTTGATATTTGAGTAAGCATTACGAGGCTTGTCCACAAAATTCGTGGACAGATGTATTAACTCTTAAATAAAACTGCATAATCTTCAAATATTCGACAATATCACATTTATAATAATTAATATTTTTCTGTGAATTAGCATGCACACCAAAAAGGACTAGATTATCTTCTTTTTTTTTCAAATTCAAAATTCATATATGAGAGTCTTCGCTAAATTACTTCCTTTGAAGTTTATCTTGAAATTTAAAGTATTTATTTAAAAAAAATACTTGTTTCTGTAAGCAAAAATTTGGTACAAAGACTCGTGCCACTTAAACTTTTTTATCACACAAAATTTTTATCTTTTGAATCACCTACATACGGATTTTATATATCTCAACTGATTCGACACGCAAGAGCATGCTCTACCTATGAACAACTACTGACATCCCGTCATTTCCAGATCATGACAAGGAGCACACGGCGGTAGTGGTCGGTCGACAGGGGATGCTTACCCCTCCATAGCATCTGATCCCACCTCCGATGTTTGGAAGGTCTGTGTTTGCTCTGCTCATTTTTTAATGGATTTTTTTTCTTGAATACTGTTCGTTATCTCCATATGTTTTATTCGAGTAATGTTTGAAGTCCAGTTACATTTCATCTAAAGGCCATATCACAAAGAAAATTTAGATGCCATGGTTTGTTATTTGTGTGGCGAAGTAGATAATGTGTAATTTAAAGCAAATTTGATGCACATGGTTTTTATCCACAGGCACTTGTTTCGGAAATAAATTTTAATCCATAGTGTGTTATTATTTTCCTATGGGTTAATTTTTTTTTCCGAAACAAGTGCCTGTGTTTTATCGTCTGGGTTCAAACTACAGGTAATCTGCAAATTAACAGATCTGACAGTAAAAAAATAATTTCAAAAAAAAAACTTACAACTGATCCCGGGCCTTTATTTACCACCGTGCAATTAAGGTAGCCTGTTTGCCCTTTTTGCTTCACCTCGGGGAAAATTTCATCTACGATTTCAGGTCGCTGAGTATAAGCTGAAAGGAATTTAAAATTTACCAACAGGGATCACAGATTTTAATGTTTCAAATTTTTCAATTATAGTTTGAAATCATCATGTATATGCGTTGTATATGCATTAGTATCATGTCAACGCAAAAACTACTTATAAGTATTCACAATTATGATAGCAATTTTTAATAACAGGACCTGATAGAATACTACATAATTAAACTATATAGATGTTTATCATGTAAAATTTCCATGGTTTTAGAATTTTTTTCCTCACAGCTCATATTTATATTTTAAAATATTTTTTAAAAATTTTCTAATAAAACGTTTCAACTAAATATATATATTGGTAATTTAATTTTCATTTTCCCGAAATTTATTCCTTTATGCTTTATATTCGATAAGCCTTGCTTATTTTTTTTCAAAATTAGTTCTTCTCAGATTTAAAATTTGATTAAGCACAAAATCACCAATATACAGATATATATAAAACATACTACAGACTGCTGATCACTCAAGCGTAAAAGTCGGATTTGAAGGCATTATATTGTTTATACCTAATTTATACCTTATTTATAAAAAATATACTAAAACTGACCAACGACGCGAACAATAGATGTCGTTAAATTATTATGTGTTGCGATAAAAACAACACAATGGCATCACGCTCAACTTTCACTAAAATGGACATAAATTTGGTGATATAACCATATTCTTTAAATAGGGTGGTTCACCATACCATTTTTTTGCAGTAAGATTAATAAAGGACAACAGAAAGATTAGAATAGAAGTCCCTACACTTATTCGACATTTGTAACAGTAAATAAAAGTAAATTGTTTAGCTTGTTCAGAATATAATATCATTTTGAAAACTACTGTAAACATTAAAGTAATAAGTAAGTAAATTCGAGCAAAATGAGAGATTTTCTTCCCAAAACGTTCTTGCCTATCCAAAAAAGTGGGCACTTGCCTCGTCTTATCCTCCCGGATGCTTTGTTACTCGTTTTTTTTTTTTTTTTTCGTATGTATCATTTGGTCACTTCAGTTTCTTATTTCCGATGTCAGACGAAAATTGTAAACAAATTTACGTTGACTAAAGGTCGAATCTGATTGCTTAGAACTACTTTGCAGTTTATAAATGCTAAAATTCAGATTACATTTGATTTGAAGGTCGTTTATGCTTTGTCAGCATGTAACATTCTCCATTTCATATGGAAACTACCTATCGAAAAAAAAAAACAACAAATTCTTCACCTTTGGAAAATATATTGATCTTTTGATTCTAAAATCTACCGGGAATAATAGACTCTTTCTTAATAGACAGCTGCTTTGTCAATAAGAACAGAACTCATTGCTTTCCAAGGCTTGTCATTCGTATAAATCTGCAATTTATTTTGTTTAAAAACATTCTGATTGAACACAGAGGTACTCCAAAGTAGGTGTACAAGGATGCTTGAGTCTCTTGATTGACAACATCTAGGTTATTACTGTTGGAATTCCCGCGGTTACTGATTGCAACCCGTTTGTAGCAGACGAATAAATGTTTTTAAAACATTATTTTTCATTCCTATGTAGATTATTAAATACATCACATAGTCTGATACATCTATTTCACATTGGCACATTTTAATAGAATGTAGACAAAAATGTCAAACTCACGAGAAAATAAGATTCTACCGCTAACTTCTCTCATCATATTTTGAATAGCATTTGATAGAAAAAGGTATGATCTACGTATAAACATTATTTAATTTAAAATAAACTGAACATAAAAACAGTTTTTATTTTGATATAGAAGTTCTATTAATCCTTCATTAATTAAATTTTGCTAATATTTAATACTGTATGTTCGTTATCTCCATATATTTCGCTTACGTAAATACCACAAACTAATCCTTTTCATTCGAACATCTTCGAAGAAAACATTGGGCAACCGCTCACTGAAGATGCATTTAAGTGTGATTCTGTATAGGTGAGATGCTAATATATTTTTTCATTAGTAAAGTAATAAAAATTTTGGTAATACAGAACTAATTTCGATAACCTCGATTTTTGTACGAAAAATGAAATTAAACCCTTTTAGGCACTTTTGATATTTTATGTTGAAGAATTTTTAAACCGAAAGAATGGGTAAATCGGATGTTATATATTATTTGTTTCAACTTAATACTAGTAATTATTTCTTACCTTGATGTTGCAGACAGCCCAAGAAAACGACCCATAACAAGTACATATCTGTAGTAGGCATTCTGGTTACATCAGAGGATTTTTCCTATATATATATATATATATATATATATATATATATATATATATATATATATATATATATATATATATATATATATATATATATATTCATTTATAAAATTACATTTGTCATTACGTAAAAAGTTATTGAAATTTCGCCCTGACTGATTCAAGGAAAAATTAGAAATTTGAATGTCAAATGTTGCATAATTTTGGAAACCATGTGAACAAAATGTTACAAAAGCAGCTGTTAGGCTGAATTCTTATCTTTGGATGCCGTCGGTCCTATAACTCACCTAGCCGTGCCGACAAATCGAATGAGGCGCGGTATGAAAATTTGTCAACATAGCCAGGTGTGTTATAGGACCAACGACATCTAAAAATATGAATTCAGTGCTTATATTTACATTCTCTAATTTCCCCCTTCATAATTCTCTATTTCGTGAATCTTTAATGTGAATTAGCATCATTCAAAACTGCTTAATAGAAATAAGAGCCGTTCATGACGTTGCAAAGTTAAATAAAGCAAATGAAAATTGCGAGGGAAAAATGACAACATTAATCTTAAACACACATTTGGTGTATTGACGTTAATTTAACACGGTCAGAGTTTTTTTTTATTAAACTGAGTAAAAATAATGTACATTTTGATGTTCTAGGGTATTGAAAATGCATATATAGCCCCTACTGTGTATTTTACCGCCCAATGACAAGTTTTCGCGTGTGTTGTAGAGATATCAACGTCGTTGATTTCTATTGGATTTCATGAGGAAAATTACACTGAATGTAATTATTCAAAATAACATTCATAATTTTGTTAGAATTTATTGAAATTTTGCCCTGATTGATTCAAAGAAAAATTAGAAAATTGAATGTCAAATGTGGTACAATTCTTGGAAACCATGTTAACAAAATGTTACAAAAGCAGCTGTTAGGTTTGATTGTTTGATTGGCTGTCATCAAAACCTTATGATACAAATCTGTAGTGGGATACTGGTTACATGCATATAATTATATATAGATATAAAATGTATACAGAATATTATACTTGCTAAAATCCCTTTTCAACCACGTTTATTTCCGAGATCAAAGAAATTCCGCGGATATTATTTTCAATTAAATCACGAACGTCATAAAAAAATAACCAGATCAGAAACACGTATCAAATTTGTACTGTAACGTGCAATGCGGCCGAGCTTGTTGTTTGGTGATATGTCTTGTATCACCGAGGCGTTACACTTAGGTTCGTTAACCTGTTAACTCAGGTTTTTGTCGACCAAGTAAAATATAATCAAATATAATGGGTTTCTTCTTGATTGGACAACCACTAACTGTGGTCGACGGGTGTCTCCCGCAATGAATTTCTCTGGTACTGCCAGTCTAAACGTACTGCTGCATCTTGGCACTTCCCCCACTTCTGTGGTAAGCCACCTCTCTCTCCATCAGCCTACTGCCTTATACAGGTCTTACGTATTAGCTAATATTGGTGACCCCTCACTGCCTATTCCCCGAAACTGTGTGCCTTATTCAGGTCTTATCACAAGTTCAAAATAATAGACAGTCAAGCCTCAACCAACTTGTCACCAGAGAGGTATCCTGAGATTCTGTAACACGGCATGTGCTACCTCAGTGCAGTCCCAATACAAAGGCAGTTACAAACTACTTAAATGATTGTAAAATTAATATTTTTTAGTGTTTAAGAAATTAGACGAAAACATAGGTCTAACGTTTTATACGAAACTAAATCATAAAACCAATTTCCGTTTCATTACCCTCCCCTCAAGATTATATGCGTCCCGAATATGATTAACTATTTACAAATTATTTACATATGTACAAAACTTTGCAATGCCTGACAATTTGTGACATCTCCCTAGGCATCGATGAATGCATCTTTGCCGAGAGTTTCTCGCACCTCACCAGGTGCTGATGCGTAGGCCAAATTGGTTAGTCGTCTAATGGCCTGGCCTTACTCTGGTATTGACTCAGATGCTCTTTGCCTTCGTTCTTTTAGTTGAACACGGTACAGATCTGTTTGGTTAGGAGGCAGAACCACCTCAAGGGATCTGACCAGTGTCTTATTGTGCTGACCAGTATCGCTTGGCAAGTCACCTAACACTGACTGTGCTTGGCCACGTAGGGATACAGTTAAATAAAGACTTTCTGTTCTTCTGCCCAGCCATTTACAACAGCACAGGCCTCAAAATGTGGTTTGTAGTCAAGCCAGGAACTGGTTCCGTCATACGTGACTGACTTGATTATATGGCCTGTCTTGGCATTGTCTGTCCCCATTGATTTCCTCTGTGGTTTTGGCGGGTCAAACAGATGGCCCGTCACAACGTAGTCAACCCCAGCATTTGGTGTGTAGATTGGTTTGCCTTCGTCTGGAAATCTAACTTTAGGCCGTGCGCCGTACTCGTCAAATGACACATCTCTTGACATACCGGCCGGTTGATAATCAGTACTGTGTGTCGCATATCCAGACTCTTGGCTTGCCGCATTTGTCTGACCACCATCACTGGTTGGCGTTCTAATCCTCTCTAGGATCTTCTCCATTCGCCCTATAGTTTCTGACACTTTCTTAGACGAATCCATGGTCAACAAAATCCCGACGCTTGCCACCAAACAATGTAACGTGCAACGCGGCAGAGCTTGTTGTTTGGTGATATGTCTTGTATCACCGAGGCGTTACACATAGGTTCGTTAACCTGTTAACTCAGGTTTTTGTTGACCAAGTAAAATATAATCAAATATAACGGGTTTCTTCTTGATTGGACAACCACTAACTGTGGTCGACGGGTGTCTCCCACAATGAATTTCTTTGGTCCTGCCACTCTAAACGTACTGCTGCATCTTGTCACTTCCCCCACTTCTGTGGTATGCCACCTCTCTCTCCATCAGCCTACTGCCTTATACAGGTCTTACGTAGTAGCTAATATTGGTGACCCCTCACTGCCCATTCCCCGAAACTGTGTGCCTTATTCAGGTCTTATCACAAGTTCAAAAAAATAGACAGTCAAGCCTCAACAAGCTTGTCACCAGAGAGGTATCCTGAGATTCTGTAACACGGCATGTGCTACCTCAGTGCAGTCCCAATACAAAGGCAGTTACAAACTACCTAAATGATTGTAAAATTAATATTTTTTTGCGTTTAAGAAATTAGACGAAAACATAGGTCTAACGTTTTATACGAAACTAAATCACAAAACCAATTTCCGTTTCAGTACAGTTAAAAAAAATACAATGTATTTGACTCTTAAACAAAATACTTATTTAGAATCATTGGTGTGTTGTCTTTCAGAGTCGAAACACTGTGAAAATTGCATAAGTAGCTGATGAATGTAGGTTTTTAAAGTTAAGCTGGGCTGTTCCATGGACCTCCCTTCACCATATTTAACTTCGTGATTTCAGTGATAAAGCAATAAGGTAGAAAACTGATTTGTTATTGTACATTCCTAAAAATAATAAATCTACAGTATAATCAAATTTATAATAAATAAAAGTCTATTTTTAATGCAGAAAAAGTTTAAATCGTCTGCCTTCCATATGAGGTAAACAAATTAACTCTTTGGCATGGAATGGAGGGGCGTAGTTGAAACATGGGGATCTAATTCATTTCTTTATTGAAGAAACGATCAGTAGTTTTTTTAGAGTTTTTAGTAGAATGGAAACGAGGCACAAGAGAACCTCCGAAGAAGTAGGGAAATGTTGATTGAAAGATAAAAGACAATATTTGAAACATTTCGAGAGTGTGTGTGGCTCCACATCAACATAAGAGCAAAAGGACTCAAATGTGGTTCTGGGGCTGATATGATGTGGATTTTAATATTTATGCATTATTTTATTTAACATATATTGAAAATACATATCGGGGTAGAATAATTTTATAATGTGACTTTTTTGTCGCCTCCGTGCCGCAGTAGTAAGGGCGTCTGCTCTACAGTCGATCCTTACGTCGCGGATTCGAATCAAACCGTGAGACATGGAGACCGGTCTTTCGGATGAGACCGTATAAGCCGAGGTCCCAGCGTGTCGCTAGAGGTGCTTGCAGGAATAAAGATCCTTCACTGCTCAATGGCCGTAACTTAGTATAGGACAAAATTCACAACTCTATACTGTCAAGTGGTGGCGTCTCCATATGAGTGAAACATTCGCGATAGGGGCGTTCAACTTCGAACAAGCAAACAAACCAATTTTTTTTCCTTTCAAAACTAATAGAAGCAGTTACGGTAATCAGATTTTAGTATGAAATTAACGGAGATATTACAAACAGTATCCAAGCTCTAAGTCAATTAAACAATACAAAACTGGAGCAGAGCAAATACGGACCTCCTAAATGTCAGAGGTGAGATCAGATGCCATGGAGTGAGCATCCCCTGCCAGAGGGCCAAACCCTCCGTGTGCTCCTTGTCATGATCGCAAGAAAACGGAAAAATCCATCGTCAATTCATTTTGTATATAATATTCTTGTAATATGTATTTGACTTAATGATATCTTGTTTTGCCAACAAGGTCATGGTTATGCATCTGAAACATAATCCTCCATCGTGTTCATGTTCTTCTTCGATTTATAACTATAGTCATGTTAGACACGTTATTACAAGTGACATAAATATAGTGGATAATGAGGACCTTAGATCACTTATTTTAAAGGGTCCTCAATAAAGGGAACCCCGATCCTTCAACTGGCGTCGGAATTTCATAAATATTATGGATTCTGTTGAAGATTACGCCAGACAATGGGCCAGAAATGAAAAAGAGGACTTGAGACTTTGACAGAATGGTTTAAATGAATCCGATCTATGTTGAAATCGTGTATTAAAAGATTGAGGGGCAATCTATCTTTCTGTGTTCAATAATCCAGAATTGAAAAAAGAATTAGATTGCACACACAAATACTCTAAAGTTGACATAAAAAAATGCTTGAGTTTTTTCATTGACAATATCTATGTGGTTTTTGGAGAGCATGTCAACAATCAATTGGAATTCCCATTGTACCAATTGCGCTCCGTTATTAGCAG